TGAATTTGGCGCTATATAAATAAACTGAATTGAATTGAATTAAAAGAATGTGCAGATGGAATAAGGTGACTTATTTTTTCCAATAAGAAAAAGAAACCATCCATATCATTATTTTAAGTAATTATATACATTTAAAAGCAAAAATACTCATTCATTTGGCAGGTCATCTTATTTACAATTTATGGAAAATTTCAAGAATATTTATACTTTAGATCAGCTGTTGCAGTTTAAGTCGAAATCAATTTCTTATGATATGCCTTCAGAGACTGTTACTGATTCATCCATTGGACCTATTTTTTTATTAACCGTAGCAATTTCCTTTAACAATTATTTAGAAATTGCAGTTTTACAGCTTTAGATTTACGAAGATAGGATCACAGTTTTCATCTTTGCAGCCGTGGCTTAGCGGCTTAACGTTTTACTAAACAATGTGCTCTTACCCTTGCTTCTCTATGTGTTATTCTATTGTTCTGTGCTTCCATGACAAAACACAGGCCCCTCCCTGGCAAATATCATCTAGACTGTAATTTTCCTTTTTATAAACTAGAGCCATTGATAATTTAAAGTGTGCCATAAATGTTTATACTTTAAACAATGTTTTTCATTAAGGGTAATTTACAAAAAATATATTTTTAGATTGTGTACAAATATAATTAATAGGCGCTGAACTATTTTTGATGAATATCTACAACAGGAAGTGCATTTTAACACAAATACAAAATGTTATGTGACAAAAAAAAACCCCCAAAAAACTTGCACATCAATTTGAACAAAGCATCCCCACTACTGGACAGGGTACTGCTGGCATCCTGCCATGGAGAAGCTTTTATATCAGCGGGTAGAGGGAGGTTGCCAAGAAGATGGATGGCAAAAGCCTTAAGAGTGAGGGAAAAAGAAATAAGCAGTCTGAAGATATGTAAAGCTAGTAGTCAAATGACACATGAGGCAATAAAGGCTTATAAACAAAAGAAATTAGTCCTACACAATTAGAGTGAGACTGAATTTGTCATTTAAAATTTAGTTCAGTCTGTGTTGCAATATGCAGTATCCATTAAATGTTAAAGAAAAAAAGTACATCTTCCGTTAGCATTGAAGCTCAAGCTGTAAATTGTTTAAATAATTAGAAATCAAAAGTAATTGTATAAAATTACAGATATTAAGCCTTTATATTTAACTATACAAATGGAGGAGTATCAAATATTAGCATTATCTCTGTCATGTAGGTCACAGAGAGGATTTAAGTGCAATCTGTAATGATTGTAACAAACAACACAAAGACCCAATATTTGGAATGTATAGTAAACATCTTAACATATTTATTCATATGCAAATAATTTAACAGTAAACTGAATTCAATCAATAAACACTGCCAAGTTAATGAGAATAAAAATCTTTATTAGTGTTTTATGAAGTCTGCATAATATGCCACACGCCTGAGAAGCTCATGGTCAAAAAAAAAAGAAAGAAAAAAAAGAACTCTATCAATACCGCCCTCTATTGGTAAAACAACTGCGACTTCTACAGTACTGACTGGTTTGCAAAAAAGATAACTGTTAAATACACACATAATGTACTACTTTTATGCATATGCACATCTGGTCCACATTGGTTTTTGTATTGTATCTTTTTTCACATTCATATGTTGTAGGCCAAAGATAAGAACAATGTAACACTGGACCCAAACACAAGGTTCAGTTTCCCCAAATATTCAAAATTCACTAGGTGCACTTCAAGTACAATCTCTAGTGCCATATGGTAAACACATGTACATTAACAGGTGAAACTGGGGACATATCAAACTTGCAACAACCAAGTAATGAGTTTAAGGTAGTAAGTTTCGTTGTACAAGCTGTCCTTTAAAGACTGAACGAACACAATACGCACATTAATACATAATGTCCCAGTGTGCAGGCACATTCACTCCCATCCAGGTTAGCTGTAACATTTTAAAAGCCAATTTTGTGTTTGAGTCTAACTTTCTTGACAAAGCACTGAAAAGTCAAAGGAGGACAAATGTGCTTGGACAAAAATTACAAAAGAGAGAGAGAGAAAAAAAAACTGGAAAAAGCAAAACTTAAACCATCTAAAATATCACAACGAATTGGATTTAAACTTTCGGTCACAGCTGTTTTGCACCAGATTTCGTTGGGGGGAAAAACACAGAGGCTATATATAGGCTACATAAGGGCAGTGATTACTTTGTTTCTCTTCACTGAGATGAAGATATGCCATAAGAATTTGGGATAAAATGTAGGAATTATCTAATCTCTGTCATTTTAGAAATTTCTAAGCTTTTAAAGTATTTTAATAAAAAAGAGGATGACAGAAATTAATATATATAAAAATACACACAAATACAAAAAGTAGCAAAACAATCTGGATGTTGGCTATGGACAAAACAAACTCACTGACGCCTTCAAAAATCTTCTGATGAGGCCCTGAATGCTTTGCCTTAGAGCTCAAAGAGTCCCAGTGTTGAATCAAAAAACACCAAAACGGCAAAGAAAGAAGCTTTTTGATACCTCCTGATATTTTCTGGTCCCTGCCCAGCGTGCCCTGTAGAACCTGGCTGATAGCTATAAAACCAGGCAAATATTTTTGGATTCAAATCAGCTAAAAGACTGAGGTCCCGTATGACGACCAAATGAAAAACAAAAACAACCAAAATAAACTACAGCCAGTCTGATGTGCAGTTACTTTAGAGCTTTGGAAATATTTATTTTACTAACATTCCTATATGATCATTTTGAAGGTATGTCTTAGACCGACACACTGCGTCAGTTAAAAAAGGGGCCATTGTGGCAGAGGTGATTGAATTAAATTTTATTAACACATTGTGGTATTTCCTTCAGGAGAATAACGGCAACAAAGGCCATCATTTTTTTCATAAGCCATCCTCCTTCAACAAGAGATAGGGCCCCAAGTCTCCCATAGAGAAGTAAACTTATTTCACAACAATGGTTGTGGTGGGCTGGAACAAAAACCACTTCAGCATTCAAGCAATCTTTAACACTGAGAACCTATTCACAGATATTTTTGGTATTTCCTCTATTTCCCAGACAACAACCAATATACATTTTATTTGTACCACAAATAGATCTAGTATTAAGGATTTGGGGCAAAGCAATTTAACAAGGTGCAAGACATAGATGGGTAACAAAGTGCCAATCTCCTTTTTTTTTTTTTTTTTAAGTTTTCAATAAAAACATCTGCATGTGTTTATAAGCATGTGGAACTGTGTCGATGCATTTGTTCCTCTGCAAATGTGTGTATCAAGTTAAAACTGGGATGTGGAATCAGGCCACAAATACTATGAAACATTTCACAAAAGCAAATTCTGGTATGGATTTTTTTTTCCAGTTTGGAGTGTAGTCATCTTTGTAATGGGCTTATTTTGGGTCTTTTTG